TTTTTCATTTTTAGGTACCTATTTATATTTTTTCCATTGCTCTGAGCGTTTTCTACAATAAGCTTCGAATGAGAAAACCTTTTATGATTATCTGAAACATATCTACATCAAAAATATATTATATGTTTTTTTATAAGCAGAAAAAGAAATGATAGCAATATTAACATCCGAAACGAACACTACAATCCAGAACCTATGTTCCAGAGGAGGGATGATAAGACCCCTCCCTGTGGACATCCCTTCATGACCAGTTCAAAGTACACCTGTGAAAACGGACAAAACTTTTGAAACAACCTTATATTTGCATCAATAGGGTGATCATGAACTTGAATGTGAAAAAGAATATTGAGGTACACACATTTTTTATACTCACATCTCCAACTCCAACTTAGCTGGAACTAAATATCAGGCAATTTTTGGCCTAAATTAATCTCCGCCATATAATATGGCTGCAAGTAATCTGGCTAGTGGTAATGAAAAGGTGATTAGGATCAGTCCAAGTCGTCCCTACTACACGAGGATTAAATGAGGTCAAATATAAATGTATATTCACAAAAGAATTAGTTTGTATGATGAGTGGTATTTCAGGTAAGATGGTAAGAGTACGGCTCTATCCAATTCCTGAAACCTGATGCGGTCCCCAACGGGGCAGGCTCATAGTATGTGCTTTGCTGTTTCATCATTTTCTAAACACAGGCGACACACACTGTCTTCCTACAGTCCTACTCTCTGCATATGATGATTCAAATGACAGTGATCTGTAAGAAGGCCTGTTAGACATCGTAGTTCATCCCTACTGTACTCCAATGACTGTTTGGTATCAAGCATCGAAGGGTGAATAAACGCCTTGGAGTCCATAAATCTTCTTGCCATCCAGATTTTCTACTTTTTTTGGCAAAGCAAAAAGGCGATGCCAATGGAAGGGTCTGATCCGATGAAGCTGCTGGATTCTCAGAGCAGTATGGCCAGGAATCCAGACCAAAAACAATCTCTTTCTATTGGGGAGAGTCGTTTTTGGCAATTTGCTACCAATTTAGACGTTGCTCGGTAGGAGCCAAGAGCTTCCAACACCGCCTAACTGCCCAAGAATATTAGCAGCGGACTTTCTCAGAACATAAATGAGCCAATCAGGATTCCTGACCGTGATGGAGAAATGGAGAATATGCTAATCTTCTGGGTCTATACCCAACAACTAATACAGAAATTTACACAGTCACCGTGAAGTCTCCATTTGGATTTTCTGACCACAAACTCATTTCAATGTTGGGAACACTATTGTTCAATGTTGGGGAATAATCAAAGCCGCGCAAAGTTTGGCATTACCTATCTTGAAGACCATTTCCGAAATTTCACCTAAAGATCCATCAACTTGTGCTTCTGAAGTCACGGAAGTTATTCAATCATCCATGAATGCATATATTCTTTTTTCGAAGAAACGACCTCCTAACGGCAGACCTTGGTTCAACAAAAATTGCGAGCAAGCTTTCGCCTCCAAAAATCTCGCCTACCGGCAGTGGCGCAAAAATCCCAGTGCCGAAAACCGAACTATGTTTGTTAATGCTCGCAACAACTGCAAACTTAGGGTAAATGAAAGCAAAGAACTTCACAATTAGAGAATTAGGGATGAACTGCTTGCCAATCCCAACGGGTCTAAATCCATATGGTCGCTAGCTGAAGCTGTTAATCAGAACTTTACAAAATCCACAATTCCACTGCTAACACTAGCGGATGGTTCAATTGTAACAACAGCCATAGAAAAATCAAATATACTAGATGATCAATTTGCGTTCCACTCCACAGTCCGCACCAGAATCCATAATGCCGGAAATTACTTTTCGGTAACGTCTAGTCAGGCGAATTTTGNTGCGCGATAGCTGATTGGTTGACTGAATGACGGTAAAAGTGGAGGTGGTCTGAAGTGGGTTTAGAAGGCTAAGGCTAAGTTTACACATAATGGACGTCTGACAGAGACAAGGCGCTGACCTTTGCCCCTTCCGTGTGAAGTGGGCCTTAGGGACCAAAATTGCCAGAATGAACCTCCATAAGAAAATACATGGGGTTTTGATTTGGAAGCCCTGCTGCCTATATACTCAGGTATAACTCTGAAATCACTTTACCAAATAATTTGGTTAAGTATTTCTTGAAGTTTTCGAAAAATTCAATGACGGCTCTGAATCCCTTATCTCATCTACATTTCACACATTAAATGATCCCTATATGCGATTCCTTTCTTAATTACATTGACAAAAGACATTTTCGACCTTTCCTAGAAAACAGGTAAACACTCTGATAAATGTAAAAGTAATGTATCATTCCCTTTCAGTAGCATTTCCAATCGGCAACCCTTATCTCTTTACGCTTTATCTCAATATATCCTGTCCATTCTAATCACTGCTTTCTATGAAATAGACAAAATTCCTATTTGGAGCACGTCTCTACAAACGAAGGAGAGCAATAATTCTCAAATTACAAGAGATATACGACCAGTGGCGCCAAAATGAATCAAACTGCGTAATATCATCCTGTGACCGAAAGGACCGAACTAGACATAACAAGGAAGGAGTAAATTGTATAGTATAACTCAATCACCAGTTTTTCGTTTTCAGAAATGTATCGAACTGACATTTTAAATCTCAGTGATGAAACCCATAGGTTAATATAAACCTGACTGGTAAAACCAGCTGGTAGGTATAGTGTTTTCAGAGATATACTGAATTAAAGAAACCAAAATCCGGGTTGGTAGGCCGTAAAAGCTTTTGTTCTTATATACGGAACTTACAATTTATAAACCTGAATACATACAACTTGATTTGACGAACAAATATCAATGTATAGAATAAGTTCCTTCATAAGTAGAAAATTGAAGTTCTTCCATGAAAATATAACTTCCATTTACAAATTTTGTAGTCAAAATAATGCATAAATATGTTTGATTTTCTAGAATTAGTATAAAAAAAACTAATGTTTTTGGTTGAAATATAAATTTTCATGCTGACCGTTGTGAACAGAACATTTACAATGTTTGTAAGACATGCAATATCACTTCAATTCAAGATTCATATTTGAAGTAGAGATATCTATATCTCATAATCAAGATGTAGAACTCAGCTCAATTTTATGAAAGCTAGAGTTGTTGATGCCAAAGCATGTGTATATTGTGTATGTATTCTGGTGGGAAGAAGAGCTTGCCAAATCTCATCAGTGTTCTAAAGAAGGGTATAACGCCTCGGGTTTTATTGTGAACAGGTTGCTTCTTGTGTAAAATATAATTCGTTTCATCAGTTAATTCTCAGTGTCTGAACCTAGCAACTGAAAATTTACATTCCAGACTGGAATCTGAATAACATGAATTGAAACTGTAATCAAACGTATTTGAGTATTACCACTTCCAGTTCTTTATCTGTGACTAACAAAGCTAGGTAACACGACTGAAAGGTTGAAACAATTTGGGTGGTTAGTGCGTTCTTATGAAGAAGAATTCAAGAAAATGCAACAATATCAATTGGGATTATACGAACGTGGTTTACTTTTCAACGAGCTATTTTGACCAACTGACAGTCCATTTTCGTATTTCTGACAGCATATGAGTGTTTTTTCACTGCAGATACAGCTACCGGACTGAGTCTCGGTATCGACTCTTTCATGATTGAAATAACGATGTGGTTGTTAACTAATAGAGGTTTCTCTAGCTCTGAAACGTTAACTGAATACTTTTCTACTGACTGATGGATGTCAGGTCGGACGTCAGTGAGCAGGTAATTTTTTGATACCATGCGTCTTTATCAACAAGTACGATAGCTGGTTAGAAGAAGACATGTGCTTTGAATTCGTTTCCACTAGTGTAAGTGAAGATCCCACCTTCGAGTGAGTAAATATATTCAGGAAGAGTACATTATTCAAGGATGTTATTCTTATCTTTCTCAAACCTGAGGTGAAGAATATAAGTCTACAGAAAATTCCCAGGTATCATTCTCTTCTTCAGAAGTGATTAGTGACTTTCATTTTACAAATTGAGTGGCAGAGAACTTACATACAGATTCAAAACTGGTGATAGATTTCTCCATTCAGAATTCCGTCAAATAAATGAGGACACAAATTTCTATCTTTGTAAATTCCTGCCCACACGTTAATACTAAATCGCACTTGAGGTCGAATTTCTCGAAACTGCCTGGATTTGTTTATTCTCCAAATGTGTTCGATATTTCGGTTGAATTCGTAAAAGTGATTTCATCTGTCCAAATTACATTTTCCAGGAAAACAGAAAAATCAGGTCTTTTTATTAGCCAATTACAAACTTCTAATCGCCTTTTGGGATCACCTGGATGTAATCTTTGAGATATGTGT